ACATGTGATGAGATAACAGGAACACGTTCTAATTAATAAACCTGGGATGAGGTAATAGGAACACGTTCTAATTAATAAATATGTGATGAGATGTCATGAACATGTTCTAATAAATAAACCTGTGATAAGATAACAGGAACACGCTCTAATTAACAAACCTGTTATGAGATAACAGGAACACGTTCTAATTAATAAACCTGTGATGAGATAACAGGAACACGCTCTAATTAATAAATATGTGATGAGATAACATGAACATGTTCTAATAAATCCTGTGATAAGATAACAGGAACACGCTCTAATTAATAAACCTGTGGTGAGATAACAGGAACACGCTCTAATTAATAAATATGTGATAAGGTAACAGGAACCCGTTCTAATAAATAAACCTGTGGTGAGATAACAGGAACACGTTTCATTTAATAAATATGTGAAGAGATAACAGGAACATGTTCTAGTTAATAAATATGTGATGAGATAACAGGAACACGTTCTAATTAATAAACATGTGATGAGGTAACATGAACATGTTCTAATAAATAAACCTGTGATAAGATAACATGAACACGCTCTAATTGATAAACATGTGATGAGATAACAGGAACACTTTCTAATAAATAAACATGTGATGTGGCAACATGAACACGTTCTAATAAATAAATATGTAAAGAGATAACAGGTACATGTTCTAATTAATAAACATGTGATGAGGTAACAGGAACACGTTCTAATTAATAAACCTGTGATAAGATAACAGGAACACGTTCTAATTAATAAACCTGTGAAGAGATAACAGGAACACGTTCTAATAAATAAACATGTGATGAGGAAACAGGAACACGTTCTAATTAATAAACATATGATGAGGTAACAGGAACACGTTATAATTAATAAATATGTGATGAGATAACAGGAACACGTTTTGATAAATAAACGTGATGAGGTAACAGGAACACGTTCTAATTAATAAACCTGTGATGAGATAACAGGAACACTTTCTAATAAATAAACTTTGATGAGGTAACAGGAACACGTTCTTATTAATAAATATGTGATGAGATAACAGGAACACGTTCTAATAACTAAATATGTGATGAGGTAACAGGAACACGTTCTAATTAATAAATATGTGATGAGATAACAGGAACACGTTCTAATTAATAAACCTGTGATGAGGTAACAGGAGATAACAGGTACATGTTCTAATTAATAAACATGTGATGAGGATAACAGGAACACGTTCTAATAAATAAACATGTGATGAGGAAACAGGAACACGTTCTAATTAATAAACATATGATGAGGTAACAGGAACACGTTCTAATTAATAAATATGTGATGAGGTAACCGGAACACGTTATAATTAATAAATATGTGATGAGATAACAGGAACACGTTTTGATAAATAAACGTGATAAGGTAACAGGAACACGTTCTAATTAATAAACCTGTGATGAGATAACAGGAACACGTTCTAATAAATAAACTTTGATGAGGTAACAGGAACACGTTCTTATTAATAAATATGTGATGAGATAACAGGAACACGTTCTAATAACTAAACCTGTGATGAGGTAACAGGAACACGTTCTAATAAATAAGCATGTGATGAGATAACCACGCTCTAATTAATAAACCTGTGATGAGGTAACAGGAACACGTTCTAATAAATAAACATGTGATGAGATAATAGGAAAACGTTCTAATTAATAAACCTGTGATGAGGTAACAGGAACACGTTCCAATTAATAAACATGTTATTAGATAATAGGAATACGCTCTAATAAATAAACATGTGATGATATATAACAGGAACACGTTCAAATTAATAAACATGTGACGAGGTAACAGGTACACGCTATAATTAATAAACATGTGATGAGATAACAGGAACAAAGATATTTTAAAACCTTCATTGTGAAAAAAAAAACTATCTAGTGAAGTTACACTTGAGTTATACTTTGGCCTTAAAAAGAGTTACAATATAAGAAAAATAAATAGCAATTTGTTTTTCATTATTTCAATGCCCCTTTATTTTAGAGTATTTTTTGATAGAAATACGTACCTCAGGTAAAACCTCATGCTTAACTGGCAATAAAAGTAATGCTTTGTACAGTATCTACTGTTAATAATTAATGATGAGTTTCTAAATGACACTGCCATCAATTAATGTTGCGAAATTCTTGTTAACCCTTTCATGAAGGTTGTCTAAAATTGGGGGGGGGGGGGGTTGCTCCAGTATTCTGGCAATAATTTTCGCTGAATTTTATTATTTAAAGACAGATTTGAAAATGGTCTTAATGTTTTTGCCTTTTTATATACAGGGTGTCCTAAGACACCGGAGATATTAAGGATTCTTTTTCAGATTTCAATTTTGTAAATAAAACCAAAATTATCGAAATCTGAACAAAAATTCTTCCTATCGTCAAGGGTAATTTTGAAAGCGCCACTTCTGAAATTAAGTTGACGAGTAAATGACGAAAATATTTCCAAAGATTAAAGACGACATTTAAGTGGTTGTAAAAATGGCTAATTTACATGAACATACCTTTTTTTCAAAATTATCTGTTATATGATTGAAAGATATATGTAAGATGAACAAGGAGAAAGAGAAGAAGAAATATAGAAATATCAAAATATTTTCATCTGATATCATATAAATATTTTAAAATATTGTAAAATTTAATTAAAATAAATTATTAAAGTTAAAAAGTGGTCTCGCAACCACAAGAACTTCCCTAGAAGGGGCTGTACTCTACAGCTCGCTCCTAAATCTGGTAAGATGTCAGTCCGGTTCTTGAAATTTCATGTTTCGTGGGACATCCTGATTTCCCATGATAGCAAATTTGGCATACTGCAATAAAAACAGCCAAGTTGAAATTTAATTGAGTATTTGCAGGATGGTTTGTGTCCAAGAACGGCTGAACAGATTGGGCCCGATTTTTTAATGATCTTAGGAAAGATAATTTCTTTAAACCCAGCGAAGAAAAAAAGGAAAATCTGCAAAAATCTTAGATTCTTATTGCGAAACAGAAAACTGAAAGAAGAAGACGACATTACAACAATACTGAAGTGTTTTTGATGTTATTTCAATGCAAATAGTTTTAGTTAATATCGCATTATTTAATGTAAGCCTGTGTACAGTGAACAATCAATTTCCATGTGTTATGCAGTCGTATAACTTGAGTCTAAAAGTTGTCTTCCTAATCTAATAGTAGCGTTACTTTCACAATACTTTCTAAACATTTTAGAAGATTTTTGTTTAATTCTTTTTATAGGTCGTCTTTAGTTTTCTGCACGCTACAGGTTTTCTTTCTCTAAAGGAATCTAAAGAGTACATGCAAAACATCATCATTAGAGTGTTACTTTTTTAACAGCCTGCTCATTGATTTTAAGTTTGAAATTTTTCAAAGCTTTAAGCTTTATGAAGAGAAATTTATGTATTATGTCATATAATCTATAAGTTTGAAATATCTAAGGGTTCATCATCAAGTTGCATTCCACCGATATAGGGATAAGAACATTTTATTAATTGTGACGAGAACTCAGTTCATTTGGATTTGTTTTCGATTCTTTGAAGTAGAATAATATGTTTTGGCAATTCTAATATTTTTCCTAATTTTAATCTCAGGATTAGACAGTTAATTTAATAATTTGTTTATAAAATAAAGCTCTTCGCTCATTATATATAAATGTTAGCTATGGCGGGCCAAACGGCTGAACCAACCTGGCTGAAATTTTTAAGGGTTTTCCCGAGGCTAAAAATTTGAAATTTATAAATTCCATGAGGAACACCGGGCACTTCGGCAAAAATCATGGTTTAATACCAAACGCGGGTAAACGGCGGGAGTATATATGAGTAATATTATAAACATCCAGCTAGTGAACGTAGTTTAAAGGGACCCTCCACGCAAAGATTGCAGCGGTTCCCTTAATTATTTACCCTTATTATTCACAGTGGTTCCCTTAATTATTTACTCTTATTATTCACAGCGGTACCCTTAATTATTTACCCTTATTATTCACAGTGGTTCCCTTAATTATTTACCCTTATTATTCACAGTGGTTCCCTTAATTATTTACCCTTATTATTTACAGCGGTACCCTTAATTATTTACCCTTATTATTCACAGTGGTTCCCTTAATTATTTACCCTTATTATTCACAGCGGTACCCTTAATTATTTACCCTTATTATTCACAGTGGTTCCCTTAATTATTTACCCTTATTATTCACAGTACCCTTAATTATTTACCCTTATTATTCACAGCGTTACCCTTAATTATTCACCCTTATTATTCACAGCGGTACCCTTAATTATTTACCCTTATTATTCACAGCGGTACCCTTAATTATTCACCCTTATTATTCACAGCAGTACTCTAAAAAGCTTTTTCCGATCACATGTGGATTAGATATCATTCTTTATAATTTTTATAACTGATAATTTAGTACTGGGTTCTCTACAAACGTGATTTGCACATTTCTACTGCAGATAAACGCATATGAATTATCAGAATTAAACACTTACAAACATCGAAAAAAACTACACCATTTGCCACATTATGGATAAGATGAAGGTTTCAAGGTTACTGATGATAATCTTTGTATGAATGGTTCCTTGAAATTACGATTACAGTCCCTTTAATAAACATTTTCGCAGAAATGATTAAATATTTACTATGTGTAGGTATTCAAGGTGGATACCTACACATACCTGAGCTGAGTTGGGGGGAGGAAGACGACTGTTTTAGACATAAGTAATTTTTAAATAATTCAATGAACATAAACAGTATATTGAGCATTGTGTATAACTGTACATGGTGCACAGTGTACACAGGTCCATTAACAGTATATTGAGCATTGTGTATAACTGTACATGGTGTACCGTGTACACAGAGTCCGACATTTAAAAGAGTATCGTTGGGCAAAACTCCCGAATTTCCTTTTTGGGGTCTTAACATTTGTGTTGATTTTGATTTAAAAGATTTAAAAAAATGGAGAATATAAGCAAACTGAGTAAAATAATATTTCATAACAAAAATATTGATATTCACAAAACTGCCTAGCCCCATTCGTGAAACCCGGGGTTTAAAACTGGTTTTCAGAACGATACACTGTCTGAAGTTTTGGTCTCAGGTCCATTAACAGTATATTGAGCATTGTGTATAACTGTACATGGTGTACCGTGTACACAGGTCCATTATCAGTATATTGAGCATTGTGTATAACTGTACACAGTGGCGTCCACAGGGGGGGGCNGTAAATTCTATCTAAAAACTTCAGAAGAAATTTCGTTTATAAGTGAAAATATTATTTTTTAATGATGCTGTGATTCTTGATTTAGTTAGCTGTGATGGAGTTAAGTGATAAATTTATAAATTTATAAAGTTAAAAAGTTAAAGTTAGTTTTTCGAGCTAAGGAATAATTTTTAGACTCTATAAAGTTAATAACACCCAAAAATGTAGTCTTTTTGATGTATTTTTATGGTGTTAATTGACTTTTTGAACAAAACAATTCCAGGGGGGGGCAAAAAAAATTTTTTCGCGCTACGCTCGAAATCGTGCCACCCCCCTGCCTAAAATCCTGTGTACGCGCCTGACTGTACAGTGTACCGTGTACACAGGCACACTTAATTACAAGAACATAATTTTTAAGCTACAGGTAAAACTAATTGCATTATAATAATATCAAATAAACAAAAGATTTCTTAAATGTCGTCTTCCTATTTCTCACATTTTGATTTATGGATTAGTCTACTTTTCAGCTTTTTTATCCTAAACAGCAATATAATCATCATGTATCTCTCTTTCGAGTATTCGATTATTTCTTCAGAGATTGTTAAAGACTGACTTGCTACTTTGATATTATTATTTTGCGTGTTTTTTTACCTACAATTTCCGTATTCTTCTAAATATTCCTCTTCTTTTCTAGAGAATAAATCATCAAAATCCGTACTTTGTCGTTGAAAAAGGCTCTTCACGTATTTTCGCCAAGGTTCAGGTAAGAGAGAAGAGAAGGGTGTATGACATGTTCAGGTTTAAGAGAAGAGATGATGTATAGGACATGTTCAGGTTAGAAAGAAGAGAAGGATGTATAGGACAGGTTCAGGTTAGGGAGAAGAGAAGGATGTATATGACAGGTTCTGGTTAGAGAGAAGAGAAGGATGTATAGGACAGGTTCAGGTTAGAAAGAAGAGAAGGATGTATAGGACGGGTTCAGGTTATAGAGAAGAGAAGGATTGATAGGACATGTTCAGGTTAGAGAGAAGAGAAGGATGTATAGGACATGTTCAGGATAGAGAGAAGAGAAGGATGTATAGGACTGGTTCAAGTCAGAGAGAAGAGAAGAATGTATAGGACAGGTTCAGGTTAGAGAGAAGAGAAGGATTGATAGGACAGGTTCAGGTCAAAGAGAAGATTTTACTCCAGACCAGAGAGATCAACCCGTCAAATCAGGACGGTTTTACTTTGAAGAAATTCAACCCTTCCAAGAAGGAAGAGCTAAAGTGATTAGCTTTCAGCCTATACACCCTTTCATTTTTCCTTTATAGTCCCTTTAAGATTCAACCCAGATGGTCATATTTTGTTGTTTTTAACTGATCATATTTGCTTAGGTTTCTTTATAAAAGCGACTTGCACATTTCTTACTATAGAAACAATGAAGAAATTATAATAATCAAATACTTTCTTGCTAAAAAATCCACGTTATCTTCCTCATAATTGATCAAGAATAAATTACGGTTTTTAAGGGTGTCATCGTGAATTGGACATTTCCATCTTTTAAAATTACTTGAAATTACGCAGGTTGCATGCTCGTTAAGCAGTACACAATTTATTCGATTATCGACCTAGGTTTATAGTCATCATAAGTCATTATCGGTATTGTTAATATTCAGAAAAGAAAAGTGACTTGCGCATGAAACCATGGAGAAATTGTAAGAATTAAATACATTTTTAGCTTATAAAAGACGTTTTCTTCCAGATTGAAAAATTGATTAAAATAATTTAAGGGTGTTATTGTGTGATTAAGTTACGGTCTCAAGAGTAACAATGTAAATCGGGTACGCCTCTTTTTTAAACTACTTGAAATTGCGCCTACAGTGTGGCATTACTTTCTTGTCATTGTTAAAAACTTGTCATAGTCTCTACGCAACAGAATTTACGCGGCAACCGCGCTCATTTTTCTGAATGTAAACAACGAATCAAATTAAACATTTGTTTTAGATCAAAATATCTTGAGAAAAAAAGATATTTTCTCCTGTCATATAGTACAGTCGTATACCAACAAATGGACGCTTACATATTGTAATTTTTAAACCAATTCAACACACTTTTATAATAATAATAATTATTTGTTTTAAAATAACTATAAAGGAGGCCCGTCCTATTAAATGATGTTTGCAAAATAGCCTGATTTTAACTATTTTTCAACACGAATTTAATACTGTTTATTTTACATTATTTTAAGTTAGGTCCAAAAATCTTTCTGTATGAAATATTTAAATCTCAATGGTGGATTTAGAACACAACACGGGGGAGGGGGTGGGCGGCCTTAGAGATTTGAAACCTCATTTTAAAGTCGCATTAACGTTGTTGACACAGGGCCATGTTTATCCCCTCTGCCTTCCCTCTCCCTCTCTTGTCTATAGTTTACATTCAGAAAAATGAGCGCAGTTGCTGCGGAAACTCTGTTGCGTAGAGACTATGACCATTTTTTAACGCAAACCATAAAGTAATGCTACACCTGTCCTGATAACCTGATAACCTGATAACCTGAGAGCTCCGTGTATCCACTTCATGATAACCCCATGCAATGAAACCCAGACAGAAAAGCCTAGTTATATAAATATATATATACTAGAAATTCAAGGCGCTTCGCGCCCTTCTTTCTAGCCTTAGAGGGCGCTTCGCACCCATCTCCTAAATTAATTCTGAACATATTCTCTTTGTGTACATCGTAAAACAAAACAAAAATAATTCACGGATTTTCACAAAAAATTTCGTGGATTTTC